CAGTGGATTAAGAAATCTTGGGCCTCCCCTGGTGGCGCAGGCCATTGAGTGCAGCACTGTGAAGCTGTCGTTAGCCTCTGCAGCGCCGGTTCAATCCCCACCGGCCAGCGAGGGTCCCACATGGAGCGCAGACCTCTCCTGTTGCACCCGCTGCTCCCCTCAGCAGTATATTTTGTCGGTCTGCCTGTTCTGTTCCCTGCTCTGTCTCTGGTAAATCCTCTCACCCTCCCGCGAATCTGGCCTGTACCCTGGTTCTTGTGTAAATAAATAAATAAATCTTTAAAAAAGGAAAAGAAAAAAAAAAATCAAACACTTCAACCCCTTTTGGATTCTTTTAAATTGACCTAAAAGGCATCATCCTTGTATAATTTAAATTTGAAATGGTTGAAAGCTATGCTTTATAAGAAAAGCATTAGAATTTCTTTCAATAATAATCTAAGTTTGGAAATGTTAAAGTTTGAGAAGTAAATTCACTTATAAGGAGAAATTGCTGTTCATTCATGCAATATATCATTCTTGAACATGTGGTTTGATTTCTACTTGTCCCTTCTTCCTCGCTCTGGAGTACAAAGATGAAATAGCAATTAAGATAACTAAAAAAAATTAAATTCAAAAATCACAAGATATAAATCATACCCTTTCATTATATTTTATCAAGGTAATCTAGTAGTCTGTGGTTTTCAAGAATAGCTCATATGGAAAACTTCTAACAAGGAAACTTCTAAAGACTACCCCTATACCTTCTCACTCCCCCAAAAATAAACTTAACTTTCTGAGCTTAGCTGTTGTTACATAGGAGGTTAATGTACAATCACATTATAAAAGGAGCAAGGACTTTGTGCTTTTGTTTGAATATTAGCTGTAGAAAGTTTACATTGTATAATTAAATTTGTAATGCTGGGGGGCCTCCTCGGTGGCGCAGCAGTTGAGCGCTGGGTTGCAAAGCTGCCCACAGCCTCTGCAGCGCTGGTTTGATCCCTGGCCACCAAGCAAGGGTCCCACATGGTGTGCAGACCTCTCCTGCCCCCCGCTGATCCCCTCAGCAGTGTACTTTGTCAGTCTGCCTGTTCTGTTCTCCACTCTGGCTCTGGTGAATTCTCTCACCCCGTGCTGACTGTACCCAGTGCTTGTATAAATAAATAAATCTTAAAAAAAAAAATTGTAGGGCCTCCCCGGTGGCGCAGCCGTTGAGCGCTGGGTTGCGAACCTGCCCGAGGCCTCCACGGCGCTGGTTCGATCCCCGGCTGCTCCCCAGCCACCGGAGGAGGGTCCCACATGGCGCGCAGACCTCTCCTGCCGCCCGCTGCTCCCCTCAGCAGTGTACTTCGGTCCTTCTGCCTGCTCTGCTCCCCGCTCTGGCTCTGGTGAATTCTCTCACCCTCCCGCGCTTCTGACTCTACCCAGTGCTTGTATAAACAAAAAAAACAAACAAACAAATAAATAAATAAACATGCCTCTATAAAATTAAAAAAAAAAAAATTGTAATGCTGGAAAGGCAAAAATTTTTTTCCCCTCATTTTTAAGTAAATGGACATTTGGGTTGTTAACAACTTTGAATGTCATGTACAAGTTTTTATGTGGACTTAAATTTTCAGTTCTCTTTAGTACATACTTATGAGTGCAATTAATGGGCCATGTGGTAACTATATTTAACTTTTTGAGAAACTGCCAAACTATTTTCCAAAGTAGCCACCCCATTTTTCATTCCTACAGACAACGTCTGAAGGTTCCAATTCCTCTGCATGCTTATCAACACTTCTTTTCTGACTTTTCAAGTATAGCCATCCTAGTAGGTGTGAATTAGTATCTATTGTGGTTTTTTTTTTTTTTTTTTTATAGAGGCATGTTTTATTTATTTTGTTTTGTTCGTTTGTTTGTTTTGTTTATACATGCACTGGGTACAGTCAGAAGTGCGGGAGGGCGAGAGAATTCACCAGAGCCAGAGCGGGGAGCAGAGCAGGCAGAAGGAACGAAGTACACTGCTGAGGGGAGCAGCGGGCGGCAGGAGAGGTCTGCGCGCCATGTGGGACCCTCCTCCGGTGGCCAGGAAGCAGCCGGGGATCGAACCGGCACCGCAGAGGCCGCGGGCAGCTTCGCAACCCAACGCTCAACTGCTGCGCCACCGGGGAGGCCCTATTGTGGTTTTAATGTACGTTTACCTATCATATTACATCTTAATAACTACTTATATGTTTTCTTTGAAGAAAAAGCTATTCCAATCCTTTGCCCATTTTTATATATGTTATCTTTTTATTATTTTTTTTAAGATTTATTTATTTTTATTAATAAATAAAGAGCTGGGGTACAGGCCAGAGGCGTGGGAGGGTGAGAGGATTCACCAGAGACAGAGTCAGGAGCAGAACAGGCAGACGACCAAAATACACTGCTGAGGGGAGCAGCGGGTGCGACAGGAAAGGTCTGCCACGCCATGTGGGAATCTCCCTGGCTAGCCGGGAATCAAACTGGCGCTGCAAAGGCTGCAGACAGCTTCGCAGCGCTGCACTCAACCCGCTGCGCCACCCGGGAAGCCCATCTTTTTATTATTGAGTTATAAGAATTCTTTTTTATTTTGGATACTAGACCTTTGTCAAATAAGATTTTTTTTTTTTTAGCAATTTTTTTTTAAAGATTTATTTTTATGCTTTCAAGAGCTGGGGTACAGGCCAGAAGTATGGGGGGTGAGAAGATTCACCAGAGACAGGGTGGGAAACAGAACAGGCAGATCCACAGAAACACACTGCAGAGGGGAGCAATGGGTGAGACAGAAAGGTCTGCTGCATCATGTGGGTAGCTCCCTGGCCGGCTGGGGATTGAACTCGTGCTGCAGAGGCTGTGGACAGCTTTACAGGCTGCATCTTAACCCCTTGTGCCACCAGGGAGACCCTGTCAAATATGATTGGCAAATACTTTCTTCCATGTGAGGATTATTCTTTATGATATATAGAGTACAGTTCCCAAATAAAGTATTTTCACCTAAAATCATTCTCCTAAATTGATAAGTTAAAATATCAAGAGGTATGGTTTAATGTAACTAAATAGTCCTGTGAATTTTTAAAACAATTAAAAGGCCTTTCATTCTTATATTTAAAGAGCTTGATGAAAATGATTTTTTTATCCTTGGGATGATTAACTATATTGTTGGCCTAGTACTTTGAGAATACAAATTGCAGGTTCTTTATGTTTAGATGTATAGAATATTGGGTGTATTATCCAACTTAAAACATTAAGTTGTAGTGTAACTAATATATGTAGATTTTTTGGAAAAAGCACACACAGCTAAAAATTTAATGATCTACATTATTTTTCTGCTGTCTTGTTGGTACTAGTGTTACCATCCATGAGTGGCCCCCATTTTTTGTTCCTGTGCTTTTGCAGTTTTCTCCTGCTAACAAGCTTTAGTCCCTGCCTTCCTGGGGCCCACTCTGAAACTAAATCATCGATGTGCTGAAACCCAGACTTACCAGCCCCCTAGCAATTTCTGCCCTCTCTGCCACAGGAAACATTAGAAGCAGTTTTCTCTACCAATTGAATTTTATTGATAGCTAACCCAGTTGACTTAGCATAAAGTTGATATCTTTTTCTGATGTAATAAAAAATGCATTAATTAAATTTTATGTGTTTAGTATATCAGTTATCTGTTTACAAACCGGAAATGATGGGGTTTTAATTAAAGTTTTAAAGATCCATGTTTTTCTCCATATGAAGTATTTGTTTTGGGTTCAAAGTAATAGATATTGTTGTAATCATTTTTTTAAAGATTTATTTATTTATACATACAAGAATTGGTGTACTGGGACCTCCCTAGTGGTGCAAGGGGTTAAGCACCACACTATGAAGCAATCCACAGCCTCTGCAGCGTGGGTTCGATCCTGGCCAGCCGGCGAGAATCCCACATGGTGCAGCAGACCTCTCCTGTCTCACCCACTGCTCCCCTCAGCAGTGTACTTTGTCAGTCTGCCTGTTCTGTTCCCCACTCTGTCTCTGGTGAATCATCTTACCCTCCCGCGCATCTGACCTGTACCCTGGTTCTTGTATAAATGAATAAATCTTTTAAATAAATAAATCTTTTTAAAAAAGAATTTGGGGGGCCTCCCCGGTGGCGCAGCGGTTGAGCGCTGGGTTGCGAAGCTGCCCGCAACCTCTGCAGCGCCGGTTCGATCCCCGGCTGCTCCCCGGCCACCGGTGGAGGGTCCGGCATGGCGCGCAGACCTCTCCTGCCGCCCGCTGCTCCCCTCAGCAGTGTACTTCGGTCCTTCTGCCTGCTCTACTCCCTGCTCTGGCTCTGGTGAATTCTCTCACCCTCCCGCACTTCTGACTGTACCCAGTGCTTGTATCAATCAATCAATCAATCTTGTATAAATAAATAAATAAATCTTTAAAAAAAAAAAGAATTGGGGTACAGGCCAGAGTTGTGGGGGTGAGAGGATTCACCAGAAGCAGTGTGGGGAGCAGAACAAGCAAATTGACTGAAATACACTGCTGAGGGGAGCAGCGGGCGAGACAGGAGAGGTCTGCAGCACCTTGTGGGTAGCTCCATGGCCCGGGAATCAAACTCGTGCTGCAGTGGCTACAGATAGCTTCATAGGTTGCGTCTTAACACCTTGCGCCGTCAGGGCGGCCCAGTCATCGTAATAATTTTGATGAATGTCTTTTAACTCTTAGGTCTCCAGCTTTTCCCAATAAAATCCCTATTTCAGGGCCTCCCCTGGTGGCACAGGCAGTTGAGCACAGTGCTATGAAGCTGTCAGCAGCCTCTGCAGCGCCCGTTTGATCCCGGTTGACCGGCGAGGGTCCCACATGGCGCAACAGACCTCTCCTGTCTGCTGCTCCCTTCAGCAGTGTACTTCATCAATCTGCCTGTTCTGTTCCCCAGTCTATCTCTGGTGAATTCTCTCACCCTCCCACGCATCTGGCCTGTGCCCTGATTCTTGTATAAATAAATAAATAAATCTATTAAAAAAAATACCTATTTCAATTTTCCTTTTTCTTTTCTCTTACAGTGGACATTTGGGAACAACAAAAATAAGAAGAAAGGAAAGGCAAGGAAAATAGAGAAGAAGGGAACCATGAAGAAACAGGCCAACAAAACTGCTTCTTCAGGCAGTTCCGACAAAGACAGTTCAGCTGAGAGCTCAGCCCCTGAGGAAGGTGAGCTAAGCTGCCCATACCTGAGAGTGAAGTACTCTTATCGGGTTGAAGCTACTTAATCAGAAGTAGAGGGCAAAGGTGCCTACATTACAGGATGGCCTCTGCCTTCATTGCAGTGATCTTTAACTTTTTCAGTGACCTTGGATCCTTTGAGAATCTGAATGGAACAAGTAATATACATGCAGTTCTGAAGGGTTAGTGTGGCCCATGAAGCCCACCTAGGAAACCCATGAGGAGTTCTTGTGTAAGAGGCTCAATTCACTTTACTCTGAATGCCTTCTCTTTTTTCTTGATCTGACAAGGAGGAAAATCCTTGCACCAGATACAGAACTCAGTAAAAAATTGTTCTTGTTTTGGAACTAATTCCAGAATTTTTGTTAATACTAGTTTGAAAGGAAACTTGTTCTAGGACTAGAATGATCAACTTTGCATTTAAAAAGAAATAAATAACATGCGCCTCCCTGGTGACGCAAGGAGTTAAGAGGAAACCTATGAAGCTAGCCGCAGCCTCTGCAGCATGAGTTCGATCCCCCGGCCAGGGAGCAACCCACATGGTGCAGCAGACCTCTCCTATGAGTGTTAGATCAAATTGAGTCAAATGCAGTTCTTACTAAATTGCTGCTTTAGAGCCTCCCTGTTGGTGCAGTGCTTAAAGACAGCAGTATGAAGCAATCTCCATCCACTGCAGCATGAGTTCAATCCTTCGCCAAGGGAGAAACCCACATGGCACAGCAGACCTCTCCTGACTCACCCGCTGTTCCCTTCAGCAGTGTATTTCAGTACATCTGCCTTTCCTGCTCCACACACCATCTCTGGTGAATCCTCTCGCACCTCTACCCTGTACCCCAGTTCTTGTATGCACGAATAAATAAATCTTTAAAAAAAAATAAATAAATTGCTGCTTTAGCTTAATACTCACTTGTTATATATACTGACTTTTTTCCATGCTACCCTTTGTCCTACCAAGATCCAGTTTCATTAGGAATTCACTCATCAATTTAATGACTCATTTAGACATTGGTTTTTATTTTTATTTTTTAAGATTTATTTATTTATGCATACAGAACTGGAATACAGGCCAGTGGTGTGGGGGTTGAGAGAATTCACCAGAGACAGAGTGGGGAACAGAACAGGCAGATTGACTGAAATATACTGCTGAGGGGAGCAGTGGGCGAGTCAGAAGAGTTCTGCTGTGCCATGTGGGTAGCTCCCTGGTCAGGGATCAAACTCGTGCTACAGTGGATGTGGATTGCTTCATAGCTTGCGTCTTAACCCCTTGCACCACCAGAGAGGCCCGACATTGGTTTTTAAATGTGAACTATTAACTCTAAAATAAGTGATATTAAGAAAATCACCATTTTTCAACCATCAGTAAAAATTGATTTACTCAAGAATTGCCAACAAATGTTAAAAACTTTGAGAGCTTGTTGGGGAACAAGATGTTTACACAGTCTCAAAGCATCTCCCTATACTAATACTTACTAATTACAAAGGAGAAAAGGGTGCCTTTTCAAAGTGACCCCACCTTGACCAAGTAACACCTTGACCAAACTAACATCACTAGTAATAGAACTGTCACATACTTCCTATGCAATTCTTTGAAAAGGGCACAATCACTCATGGAGTATTCTTGCCAAAAATTCATGACCTGAATAGTTTCTTTTTTATTTCTTTTTAATTTTGTGTAGAAGAACTGGGGTGTAGGCCAGACATTCAGGAAGTGAGAGGATTCACCAGAGACAGAGTGGGAGGCAGAACAGGTAGAATTACTGAAATACACTGCTGAGGGGAGCAGTAAGACAGACAGGAGAGGTCTGCTGAGTGATATGTGAGTCAGCTCCCTGACTGGGGATTGAACTCAGACCATGGGATGATACTTGACCCCTGGGCCACCATGGAGGCCCCTGAATAGTTTTGTTTTTTTTTTAAAGATTTATTTATTTATGCATACAAGAGCTGGGGTATAAGCCCGAGATGGGGTGGGGAGAGGATTCACCAGAGAAAGAGTGAGGAAGAGAACAGGCAGATGGACCGAAGTACACTGCTGAGGGGAGCAGCGGGCTCAACAGGAGAGGTCTGCTGCGCCATGTGGGTTGCTCCCTGGCCAGCCGGGGATTTAACTCATGCTGCAGAGGCTGCGGATTGCTTCATAGTGCAGTGCTTAACTATCCCCTTGCGCCACCAGGGAGGCCCCTGAATAGTTTCTTGATGAAACCAACCATCCTAAATTAAAGAATATTTCATTACCGTGACTATTTAAATTTTAATTAAAAACTAATGAAATAAAAAATCGAGTTTCTCAGTTTCACTAGCCACATTTCAGTTGCTCACTTTTACACATTAACGCATACTAGAGAAACATAGTAACCAAATGCAAGGTATGATCCTAGATTGGACCTCCTTTTAGCTGAAAAGTGACTATAAAGAACAGTATGAGAACAACTGGTAAAATTTGAGTATGGACTATATGTTTGATAATGGCATTCCATCAATATTAAAGACCTTGAATTTGATAATTGGAGAGTTGGTTATGTCAGAGACTCTCCTTTTTTGAAGTATTTAGGTGTAAAGGGCCATAATTTCTGCATCTTACTCTCAGTTCAGCAAAGCAAATGCTAAACCGTATGGACGAGAGAAAGTACATTGGCAATGTTAACAATGGATGTACCTAAGTAAAAGATTGATGGGATGTGGCCTCCCTAATGGCCTAGGGGATAAGTCTCAGAGCTATCACCTCTACAACCTGAATTCGATTCCCGGCTGCCACGGACCAGCACAGCAGTAGGCAATGAGGCCGTCTCAGGGTTGAGAGACTGCGCAGGGTGGTCAGGGATTCGGTTAAAGAAATGACAAACAGACACACTTCAAGAGAGAGTGTAAATCTGAGTGCGTCTTTATTAAGCTAGTGGTCAGTATATATATGTTTTTCTAAAAGCATCAAAGAGATCAGTTTGCTCATAAATTTAGCTTAATTGACAGGGCAGTGATTTATGTCCGAAGTTACATCTAGCCTCATTCCTAATTGGACAGGCTATAAATTCTTTTTACTGTTCTATATAATTATTTTCTAGTTGCACTATCATAATTAATTGTCATGGGTGAATTTATTTTATAATGCAGTTAATATCAAAGGTACTAAAGTTAAGCACATAATAGAAAGATTATTAAACTAACAATTCTATTATAACACAGTGTTTAGTAATGTTTCATTTGCATTAACCTAATTATTAAATTAGGTATGTTTTTTAATTAGCAATCAATGACCAGAAAAAGGAAAGATTTTAGAAAGACAGTTGTAGCAGAATAAAGTTTGTGGGCCTTGAGAAAGCGAGATAAGGTTCCAGGTGGTCAGCATTTCTTTTAATCATCTTTGTGGCAGCTTCTGGTGGTCATTATTTCTTGACAGGCATTCGGCTTCTCTGCATTTTAGGGAGTTTGCTGTTCTCCCCCTGCGCGCATGGTTCCTTGCCCACGCCGGACCTCAGGGACCATGGCAACAGCCATTAGCCCTGAGGGTCACTGCAGGGGGGGGTGCAGCACTGGCCAGGGAGCTAACCCACATATGGCACAGCAGACTGCTCCAGTCTCTGCCTGTTCTGCTCCCCACTCTGTCTCTGGGTGAATTCTCTTACCAGCACCACCCACACCTCTGCCTACACCTCAATTCTTTTTTTTTAAGATTTTATTTTATTTATTTAATAGCATACAAGAGATGGGCTGTAAGCTTCACCAGAGACAGAATGGGGAGCAGAACAGCGGATTGACTGAAACACGCTGCTGAGGGGAGCAGCAGGCGAGACAGGAGAGGCCTGCTGCGCTGTGTGTGTCAGCAACCTGGCTGGAGATCAAACTATGCTACAATGGCTGCTGGTAGCTCATAGTGCTAAGACTTAACCCCTTGCACCACCAGGGAGGCCCTTACACCCCAATTCTTTGACACAGAAAGAAAGAAAAGAAAGATTTATGGGATGTGGTCTTGCAACTCTTTTGTGTATGTCAAGGTTTTCAAAATAAAGTTGAATTAAAAAAGCAAAACATGCTTCTTATTCCAGCCTAAATTTTCCTACACCGTGTTTGCAGTTGCCAAAGGCACACTCAGGACTATTAAGTGGGAATCGAGGTGGCCTTGTGCCTCTTTACCTAAGCGAGCCAGCGGGTAATGAGCACCAACACACTGGGTCACTGTGGCTTCTGTCTTCTGTAGCATCGCCTAATGTGGTATTTGGGCCTTTGTTGCAGGTGAAGTGTCAGATTCTGACAGCAACAGCTCCTCTTCCAGTTCAGATTCAGACTCATCCTCAGAAGATGAAGAGTTCCATGACGGCTATGGAGAAGACCTCATGGGAGATGAGGAAGACAGGGCCCGTCTGGAACAGATGACAGAGAAGGAGAGAGAGCAAGAACTGTTCAATCGTATAGAGAAGAGAGAGGTGTTGAAAAGAAGGTATTTTGCCTAATTCAAGACTTGGAATTTCTTATTATTCATGTGTTAGGTACCTGACTATATACCACTACCATGGTTTTGTTTTTTGTTAAAAATTCAAATGTTAAATTGCTTTTTGATATTCAGAAGCTGCTTCAGTTTCTAAATTATTTTTGCCATATTTAAATGGTAAATGTTCTTTCTTATCTCATAATAAGAATTTCAAGGTAAAAATAAACTTCACTTTTGTCTCAGGAAATGCAATAGTCCTCAGAACTAGGATTTTCCCTACCCACCTAATATCAAGAAAGAAAAATAGAAACATTTTCTTTTGGCAGCAGTGAGTTCTATTTCATCTGGGAGCCTGTTTGTCCCTTCTGGAAACCATATTAAGTATGGTGAGTTAGCCTAGACAAGAATGTTTGGCTTTCAGTTAGCAGCAAGTAATAGACATTTGTTTTGAGTGTTAACGCTTCCAAGGTTACCTGTATTGGAACAAACATGACTGAAGGAACTGTGCTGGAGTTGTCAGATAGTTAGAGACGACTTCTAAAATTTTTATTTCTGAACTGTGGAGAGCTGTAATAAGGTTCTCTTAGGAGACCAATGATAAAAATCACAGAGTAACTCAACAATAATGTATGGCTTATCTCAAACTTGTTTTTTATGTATTTTTTTCCCTTAGATGAGTGAGACAAGTGAGAGATTCAATGACTTTTTGTTAGTGACTTGAAGAATATTAGAGTGAGAATAATTTAAGACAGAAGTTCAGAGCCATTCACAGAAAAATGAAACTTTTGTTTAGTTGCAAGATAGTCCAATATAGTAAGTCAGAAATTTTCTCTATCTTCACCTAATAAAGGTCTGACATGTATCACATTTACTCTTCATAACAATCTTATGTGAACACCATTAGTATGACATTTTATAGCCAGTAGCACTGTTAGTAATTTTCAGCTGTTAAGAGTCTTCACCTCTCTTTTGTTTGTTTAAAGGTGAGTGCTGGCAACATAAAAGGTAGTTTGGTTGTGGAAAACACTGATATTTTCAGTTAGACGGTATAGCTCAACTTAGACTCACTGGCCAAGTGATCTGAATTACTTAACTACCTTCTTCCTACCTGAGCAGCCTTCTTTGGATTGTTGTAAACCTTGCATGAGATGATAGTGATACATAAAGAACATTATGTAAACATAAGCTATTATTAACTTCAAAAATTAACTTTATTGAGGTATATTTTATATTCCATAGAACCTATCCACTTAAAGTATATTATTTAGTAGTTTTTGTATATTACCAAATTATGTGATCATTACTACAGTTAATTCCACAACATTTTTATCACCCCAGAAAGAAATTCTATACTCATTGGCAGTTTACGTCTCTATTTCCCTCCCAAGTCTATCAACTCTAGGCAACCACTAATCTACTTTCTTTATATATAGATTTGCCTATTACTGGATATTTTATATAAATGGAATCATGCAACATATATATAGTCTTTTGTGACTGACTTCTTTCATTTAGCATATTTTTGAAGTTCATTCCCCTAGCATTTCTTTTTATGGCTGAATAATGTTCTATTGTGTATATAAGTTCAGCCACTGATTGGCATTTGAGCTGTGTTGGTTTGAAACTTGGGAGCTTTTCAGATGAAATCTGAAATTGGCTCCTATACTCGGATGTCAGGAGAGTGTAAAGAAAGAGGCTGGGGCCTCCCTGGTCGCGCAAGGGGTTAAGTCACAGCACTATGAAGCTATCCACAGCCACTCCAGCACAAGTTCAGTCCCCGGCCATGGAGCTACCCACATGGCGTAGCAGACCTCTCCTGTTTAACCTGCTGCTCCCCTCAGCAGTGTATTTAGTAGATCTGCATGTTTTGCTCCCCACTCTGTCTCTGGTGGATCCTCTTACCCCCCCACTCCTCTGGCCACACCCCAGCTCTTGTATGCATAAATTTTAAAAAAGGCAGACCTTATACATAAATATATATGTATATATATGTATATATATAAGAAGAAGAAGAAGAGACAGACCTTTCAAGATTGTCAGGGGACAGTTTTAACCAGTGAGGGAACTTAACATGTGAAGTTTGTCTTGGGCAACCACAAGATGAGTAGATCTCCATGCCCACCTGCCAGAACCCTAGAAGTTTACATAGAGCCCTTAACTGTGTTTAGTCACATATTTTTAGTCCAAATGACCTCAGCAACACATTGCTCTCTCAAAGCTATGTCCTTGAAAACAGTTCCCACATGGGAACAATGGACAGAATACTTTTCAAGGACAGAAGAGGTAAGGAGCTTCCATTTGTGCAGGTTTGTACCATTTTAATGGTAGCTGTGCCATTTGTAACATTTTAATGGTAGCTGTGCCATTTTACATCCCCACTAGCAGTGTATAAGAGTTTCAGGTTCTCTACATCCTTGCCCTTTTTTGATAATTGCTATCCTGGATGTAAAGAACTATCTCACTATGGTTTTTAGTTGAATTTTTCTGATTTCTAATATGTTGAGTATCTTTTCATGTCCTTGTTGGCCATTTTTATTACATGGAGAAATATCTGTTCCACTCCTTTGCTCATTTTTTAATTGGGTTGTCTTTTTGTTGGTGAGTTGCAAGAGTTCTTTATATATTCTGAATACTAGGTCTTTATTAGTGATATGATTTGCAAATAAATTGTCCCATTCTATAAGTTGTACTTTTTATAGTGTTGTTGATATACGTTTTTTAATTCTGATGTTTAATTTTCTTTTTTTTTTTAAGATTTATTTATTTATGCATACAAGAGCTGGGGTACAGGCCAGAGATGCGGGGGCTGAGAGGATTCACCAAAGACAGAGTGGGGAACAGAACAGGCAGACCGACTGAAATACACCGCTGAGGGCAGCACTGGGCATGTCAGGAGAGGTCTGCTGCGCCATATAAGGGTTGCTCCCTGGCCGGCTGGGTACAGTCGAACTCGTGCTGCAGAGGCTGTACAAGCACTGGGTACAGTCGAACTCGTGCTGCAGAGGCTGCGGATTGCTTCATGGTGCAGTGCTTAACCCCTTGCACCACCAGGGAGGCCCAGATCTTTACTTTCCTTGATCAATCTTTTAGTATCATATCTAAGAATCTAATGCCAAACGCAAGATCATGAATATTTAGTCCCTATGCTTTCTTATAAGAGTTTGATAGTTTCAACTCATATGTCATTGGTTCAACTATATGGTTCAATATATATGGTTCAACTCATATATGTCATACTTATGTCATTGGTTCATTTTGACATCATTTTCATATGTGATGTGAAGTAGGAACCCAGCTTTATTCTTTTGTATATAGATATCTAACTGTCCCAGTACCACTTTGTTGAAGACACTGTTCTTTCCCCCTCTGAAATAATTAATAATTAACACTCCCCTAAAAAACCAGTGGATCAAAGACAAAAATCACAAAGGAAATTAGAAAATAGTTTGCATCAAAATTAATAATGCATCAAAATGAAATATGAAAATGAATACATCAAAACTATATAATTCAGGGCCTCCCTGGTGGTGCAAGGAGTTAAGACGCAACCTATAAAGCTGCCCACAGCTCCTGCAACACGAGTTTGATCCCCTGGCCGACCAGGGAGCAACCTACATGGCACAGCAGACCTCTCCTGACTCGCCCGCCGCTCCCCTCAGCAGTATATTTCAGTCGATCTGCCTGTTCTGTTCCCCAGAATCCTCTCATCCCCCACACCTCTGGCCTGTACCCCAGCTTTTGCATGTATAAATAAATAAATCTTAAAAAAAAAAAACTATACAGTGCAGCTAAAGCAGTGCCTGGAGCAAAATGTATAGCCTTACAAATGCCTATATTACAAAAGAAAAAATATTTTAAGAAGAGTAAATTCATAACTCCCCTCTCCATTAATAAAAGTACATGAACAATTTTAATAATGAGTGAAAGGAAGGTAACAAAAAATATTAGGTAATTTATTTATTAAGAACTAAGTAAAAACTGAGTTAGGATGTTATGAGGAAGAATTTTTTTATTATATTCTTTTATTCCATAATGTTCTTAAATTCACACACACACAGATACACACACACATTTCTTTTTTCCAGAGCCTGATATTCATAATGGGGAGGAAACCTATATTGCATTTGTTTAAGACATAAATATATTCTAAGAAAATAACATAATGAAAAAAGAATGTTTTGAAAATATTGCCTTTTATAAATTTAAAATTAAAAATAATAAAATATAGCCTTTGTCCTGACCAGCTGAAAAATATGACAGTGCTCTCTGGCTTCATTGCATTTCTTTTTTTTTTTTTTTTTTTAAAGATTTATTTATTTATTTATACAAGCACTGGGTACAGTCAGAAGCGCGGGAGGGTAAGAGAATCCACCAGAGCCAGAGCAGGTCACAGAACAGGCAGACCGACGAAATATACTGCTGAGGGGAGCAGTGGGCACAGCAGCAGAGGTCTGTACACCATGTAGGACCCTCGCCGGTGGCCAGGGATCTAACCAGCGCTGCAGAGGCTGCGGGCAGCTTCTCAGCCCAGCGCTCAACCACTGTGCCACCAGGGGAGGCCCCTCATTGAATTTCTAACGGAACACACTTGGAGGTGATCCAGAAATAAATTTTCTTTTAGTATGTGAAAGTTGAGGCAGAGTTGTATGTCTCAAAAACAAAGATGAGTACAACAGTATCTTTGAATAATTTCTCTCATTGCAAATGTATTCCAACTTAATGCTTTCAAGTTCTTTTAGTGTATTTATATTAAATATTTTTAATGTACTTATAAGGTACATTGGAGTGTCTTGCAAGAAGCAAACATGTTTATTAACTCCTTCCCCCTACTTATTTCCTTTTTCCTATCTAATAGAAACCAGTCTTTACAAATATTTCATTGCCACTTAAAAACCAAACAAATATCTTTTAACCAGATTTGAGATCAAGAAAAAACTAAAAACAGCCAAAAAGAAAGAAAAGAAAGAAAAAAAGAAAAAGCAAGAAGAAGAACAGGAAAAGAAAAAGCTGACACAGATTCAAGAATCTCAGGTAGGAGACTATCAATAGTCCTTGTTATCCAAAGAGTAAAACCTGTTTGTGTGTGTGTGTGTTTATGTGAAAGATATATATTAACCAGCCTCGGTTAGTGCAAGACTTACTTGCTGTCTTCATCTTGTAGTTAATTTCTGGACATATCATTCACATGAACTGTGCTGTTTAACTCCTTGGGAATTCTTTACTCAAGCTGTATTTGAAAAGTAGCCCATTAGTGTATGAGCATCCTTTAAAGGGAAAGTTGGTAGGTATCTTTTCCCAGGTAGCCAGGCTGGTTATGACATTTACTTGGGGGTGTGTTGATCCTGTACTTGGTAATAAATATAGCTGGAAAATTAGCCATCATTCATCACAGGAAGCTTTAGTAAAAAGCTTTAGTGAGTATTAACTCTGATCCAAGGTATCTTTCTAGAGAAAGTGTTCATTTCTGTAACTGTTAGGTAAGTGAGACAGGGGCTGTTTTCTCTTTTCTCTCTCTTTGTCCACTAGAGGATGCTCTCTCCCATTAAATGGTTCTGTTTCTGCAGCCAATGTAAATTCATGTTGTTGAACTGAATGATTGTTGGGTACAGAGAACCTTATCAATTACTGGTAAAAAGAGTCAACCAACATATCCTCTTCCCAGGTAACATCCCACAACAAGGAACGGCGTTCCAAACGGGATGAGAAACTAGATAAGAAATCTCAAGCCATGGAGGAGCTAAAAGCAGAGCGAGAAAAACGAAAGAACAGAACAGGTAATTGGGGAAAATGTAATGGCTACTTTGATTTTGATCATGTGACTTGACTTCCTGGTACCCATTTCTATCTTTCTCCTTTTGTAGCTCTTTATTTATTTATTTTTATGATTCAATACCACACAACTGTAATTTATTTATTTAAGATTTATTTATTTATACAAGCACTGGATACAGTCAGAAGCACGGGAGGGTGAGAGAATTCACCAGAGCCAGAGTGGGGGACAGAACAGGCAGACTGACGAAAAAATACACTGCTGAGGGGAGCAGCGGGTGGCAGGAGAGGTCTGTCGCGCCATGTGGGACCCTCGCCAGTGGCCGGGGATTGAACCGGCGCTGCCGAGGCTGTGGGCAGCTTCACAACCCAGCGCTCAATCGCTGCGCCACTGGGGAGGCCCAATAAAGACTTGATTTAAACATAACTTAAAAACCATTGTCAGGCCTCCCCGGTGGCGCAGCGTTTGAGCGCTGGACTGCGAAGCTGCCCGCAGCCTCTGCAGCGCCGCTTGGATCCCTGGCTGTCTGCGAAGGTCCCACATGGCGTGCAGACCTCCCCTGCTCTGCTCGCTGCTCCCCTCAGCAGTGTACTTCATCAGTCTGCCTGTTCTGCTCCCCGCTCTGTCTCTGGTGAATTCTCTCACCCTCCCGCGCTTCTGACTGTACCAGTGCTTGTATAAATAAATAAATAAAATATTTTAAAAAAAAAATTATCACACCCAAAAAATAGTAACAGCGAATCTCTTAATATTATCAAACATCTAGCCAGTGTTTAAATCTCTAATCACTCTATTACTGAAATATACTAATTTGATTACTTGAATCAGGATCTTAAATAAACCCACACATTGTGGTTTGTTAATATGTCCTTGAACACACTTAATTAAAGGTTTTTCTGTCCATCTCTTTTTTTCCCCTTCCTATAGCTTATATATTAAAAAAAATTCAGTAGTCATGTAGTTTCTCACAGATGATTGCATCCCATTGGTATTATTGAATATATTTCTCTAGTTCCTTGAATTTCCTGTAATTTGTAGTTAGAACTAGAGAATTGGACAAATTTGAATATGTTCTCCTTAAGTTTTGGTTTTGGGGAAGGCTAGATTTTAGATGGTAATATTTACTTCTGTAATGTATGTAGCAAAAGATACATAATGTCCAGTTTCTCTTTTAGTATTACCTGCTCTGTCACTTATATTTTACCACAATAATACGAAATAACAGACTAACTTCCAAACACATATAATAATCATTTGTTCCTGTCCATACATCTGTGATTCAACTATGGCTTGCCTAATATACAAATTCAGCTGGTATTGTTTCTAAGCTGTGGTCTGTTCCATCTTTCTTTCTCCCACTTCAGTCAGTATATCCAGGGCACATTATTCTTATGGTGGTGCCAGAAATATACAAGGGGCAAGTAGAAACATGAGCTGCCTCTCAGGTCTGTATGAATTCCATTGGCTAAAGTAGGTCACATGATTAAGCCCAACATTAATGGAGCTGGGTGAACTACCAAGTCACATGGAAAAGGGCATGAGTCAGAGAAAGATAAACAACTCGAAATTGTAATATGTTCTATCCCAGCAACCATTAATGATTATTACCCAGATCATTTACATTACATATTACAAAATGGTGATATTTTAATCTATGATTCTTTATTCATTATCTTTATTCTTTATTCATTATCTACTTTTTTTAAAAAAGATTTATTTATTTATGCATACAAGAACGGGGGTACAGGCCAGAGGTACGGGCGGTGAGAGGATCCACCAGAGAGAGAGCAGGGAACAGAACAGGCAGATTGACTGAAATACACTGCTGAGGGGAGCAGCGGGCGAGTCAAGAGAGGTCTGCACCATGTGGGTTTCTCCCTAGCTGGGGATCCAGCTGGTGCTGCAGTAGCTGTGATTAGTTTCATAGGTTGTGTCTTAACCCCTTGCACCACCAGGGAGGCCCCTATCTGATCTACTTTTATAAAGAAAAGTCTCTCATAAGCTATTTATATACCAGGTACATTTCATATAGGAAAGACAGAATAAATGCTTTTTTTCCCTTTACCAGTTCTCAAAAGAAAGAGGTAGTTCCTTCCAAAGATTGTTCAACTTCCAAAGATTGCTCAACTTCCAGAGTTGACTTTAGCCTTATTTTTAATATCCTTGGGAACTCATGGGTTTTAGCATATTTTATGTAATTTAATCCATTACAGTTACTGTTATTACTGAGACTCAAATTGTCCTACCTTCAACCTGAGTCCTTTTGATATTAGATGTTCCCCACTAATCTTTTTTTTTTTTTTTTTAATAGAGGCATGTTTTTATTTATTTATTTATTTGTTTGCTTGTTTGTTTATACATGCACTGGGTACAGTCAGAATCGTGGGAGGGTGAGAGAATTCACCAGAGCCAGAGCAGGGAGCAGAGCAGGCAGAAGGACTGAAGCACACTGCTGAGGGGAGCAGCGGGCGGCAGGAGAGGTCTGCGCGCCATGTGGGACCCTCCTCTGGTGGCCGGGGAGCAGCCGGGGATCGAACCGGTGCCACAGAGGCCGCAGGCAGCTTCGCAACCCAGCGCTCAACCGCTGCACCACCGGGGAGGCCCCGGTCCCCACTAATCTTTAATAATTTCCTGAATTTGAAATCACCTGTTTCTCCAAGGAGCCCTGGTTTATTGTTCTTTAAAAAAAAAAAATTTTTTTTTTTTTACTTATTTAGGGCCTCCCTGGTGGCACAAGTGGTTGAGCGCCGCAATGTGAGGCTGTCCGCAGCCTCTGCAGCACAGGTTCAATCTCGGCTGGCTGGGTAGAAACTCACATGGCACAGCAGACTTCTCCTGTCTCGCCTGCTGGTCCCCTCAGCAGTGTATTTTGTCAGTCTGCCTGTTCTGTTCCCCACTCTGTCTCTGGTGAATCCTCTTACCCTCCCGCACATCTGGCCTGTACCCCGGTTCTTGTATAAATAAATAAATCTTTTTTAAAAATTATTTATTTATGCATACAAGAGCTAGGCCAGAGGTGGGGTGTAGGCCAGAGGTGGCAGGGGCAGGGGGGCGGTGAGAAGTATTCTATTGGGGAGCAGAACAGGCAGATTGACTGGAATACACTGCTGAAGGGAGCAGCGGGCGAGACAGGGGATGTCTGCTGCTCCATGTGGGTTAGCTCCCTGGCTGGGGATCGAACTTGTGCTGCAGTGGCTGGTAATAGCTTGATAGTACCAAGACTTAACCCCTTGTGCCACTGGGGAGGCCCCAGCCCTGGTTTGTTTTTCATGAGAAATTATATTCAGTCACCACAGTCTGGACACAGAGGACTCATGTTACTGGATTGCCTATTTCTAAGAGTCAGCTTTCAGAGCTAGGACATTTTTTTAGTTTTTGTTTTTTAAGGATAAAATTGATCATGAGCCTCATATTAATGATTCATTCCAAATTCAGGATGTCAAGGTTTCTTCTTGTTTCTATAACCAGCTTTATAAAGATATAATTAACATACTGTACTGTTTACTCACAAGATGAATGACTTTTAATATAGTTACAGAACTTTGTGATAAAACAGTGAAATATAGAATGTTTCATTATCTCAAAAACCCCTTAACGTTCACTCCCACCCCCGCCCCCCACCAAAACTGTCTTTCCCAGTTGAAGGCAACCATCAATCTACTTGTCTCTAAGATTTGCCTATTCTGGTCATTTCATATAAATGGAACCGTATAATATAGGATCTTTGGTGTCAGGCATCTTCACTTAGCTTAACATTTTCTCAGTTCATACATGTTGTAGCATAAGACAATACTATATGGATATATAGCTTTTGTTTATCCATTCACCTTTGGACATTTTTGACATTTGGGTTGTATTTGACTCTTTTTTTTTTTTTTTTTTAAAGATTTATTTATTTATTTATACAAGCACTGGGTACAGTCAGAAGCACAGGAAGGTGAGAGAATTCACCAGAGCCAGAGCAGGGAGCAGATCAGGCAGACTGATGAAGTACACTGCTGAGGGGAGCAGCGGGTGGCAGGAGAGGTCTGCACTCCATCTGCATCCCCAGCGGCCGGGGATCGAACCAGCACTGCAGAGGCTGCAGGCAGCTTCGCAACCCAGCGCTCAACCATTGCACCACCAGGGAGGCCCCTCTTTTTTTTTTTTTTTAAATGTATTTTTTCGATCTTATTTCCCCATTCTTTTGCTCCTTTTTTTTTTTTTTTAAGATTTATTTATTTATACAAGAACTGGGGTACAGACCAGATGCGCAGGAGGGTGAGAGGATCCACCAAAGATAGAGTGGGGAACAGAACAGGCAGACTGACGAAATACACTGCTGAGAGGAGCAGCGGGTGCGACAGGAGAGGTCTGCCGCACCATGTGGGACCCTCGCTGGCCAGCCGGGATCGAACCAGGGCTGCAGAGGCTGCGGACAGCTTCACAGTGCTGTGCTCAACTGCCTGCGCCACCAGGGGAGGCCCTGTATTTGACTCTTTTTAATAATGCTGCTGCAGCAATGGGGAATGCAGCAGGTGATAAGGTTTATGTCAGGAGGAGTGGTCTATTCTGGGGCACAGTCATCACCCTCTCCTTTGGCTACTACATGGAGGTTGTCTTCTGGCATTAGAGCATCCCTTATCAAAGCGTAAGGTCCTAGGGTCCTTTTATTCAGTACTTGATGGACCATCATGGCTCCTGCACAGTGAGTATTGCCTTTCTCATTCATGCGGGAGAGTCTTTATATGCTTTGGTGTTGTCCAAGCACAAAGGCATCAAAGTACAAAGAATTATTCTTACTGACTTTCCTCTTTGGGATAGCACCTGTCTCCATCTTGATTGCTTATAGACCAGAACACCAAAAACAAACTTAAAAAAGATATTTAAAAGCTTTCTTGGGGCCTCCCTGGTAGCGCAAGGGGTTAAGCATCAGCACTATGAGGCAATCTGCAGCCATTGCAGCACAAGTTTGATCCCCGGCCAGGGAGGTGACCCACATGGTGCAGCAGACCTCTTCTGACT